CCATCACAATAAAATTTATCATTAATCAATGCAGTCAATAAGTAGCAGAATTGCAGACTTGGAAGGGACCTTGGAGGTCTTCTAGTCCAACCTCCTGCTCAGGCAGGAAGCCCTATACCATTTCAGATAAATGGTTGTCCAATCTCTTCTTTAAAACTTCCAGCATTGGAGCATTCACAACTTCTGGAGGCCGGTTGTTCCACTTATTAATTATTCTAACTGTCAGGAAATATCTCCTTAATTCTAGATTGCTTCTCTCCTTGATTAGTTTCCATACATTGCTTCTTGTCCTGCCTTCAGATGCTTTGGAAAATAAGTTGACTTCCTCTTCTTTGTCCCTTAGATATTGGAACACTGCTATAATGTCACTCCAGTCTTTCTTTTCATTAAACTACATATACCCAATTCCAGCAAATGGTCTTTATATATTTATATGTATCTTTATATGTTTTAGCCTCCAATCCCCTAATCATCTTTGCTGCTCTTCTTTGCACTCTTTCTAGAGTCTCAACATCTTTTTTTATATCGTCAAGACCAAAACTGAATGCACTATTCCAAGTGTGGCCTTCCCAAGGCATTATAAAGTGGTATTAACACTTCACGTGATTTTGATTCTATCCCTCTGTTTATGCAGCCTAGAACTGTGTTGGCTTTTTTGGCAGCTGCTGCACATTATTGGCTCATATTTAAGTGGTTGTCCACTAGGACTCCAAAATCCCTCTCACAGTTACTACTATTGAGCCAATAATATATTGAGCCTATACTATACCTGTGCACAAGTAAGGCATCATGAAATCGCACATGATTTTGCAACTTTTTTGCCATAGTTGTTAAATGAATCACAGTGGTCATTATGCAAGACATCATGTAACCACAACTTGAGATTTTCCCTGTTGGAATTCTTTGGCTGTGCTTGTTGTAAGCTGGCTGAGGATCCTGCAAATGGTAAACATGTGACCATGGGATGCTGCAACTATCATACATGAGCGATGGTACACAGGTGCCCAATTCACAATCGTGTGTCCCCTGGTGAATGCTGTGATGGTCAGAAGTGAGTGGACCAGTTGTAAATCACTTTTTTTCCCAACACCATTTGTAATTTTGAATGTTTCTTAAACAAATAATTATAAGTGGAAAACTACCAGTGATACATTCAGCAGAATTGAGGGGGAGTTAAGGTTCTGAAAATGCAAGGGTAACATCAACTCTCTACCTGGTGTTGCACAATATATTAGCAAAAACATGACCCTAGGACTATAGAGAGTCACAGTAAGCAAACAAACCTAATGGTATATTTCACTTTTGTTTGTCATGTGAACTCAAATTCATTAATTTAGGAAACAATGAAGGCAAGTGTTAACCTGTTGAATTAATTTCACCAAAGTAGTCCCTCCTGCCTATTTTTGTACATCTAAAAAAGCAATCCTATGCAATCATATTTTGCATTATATTAGCAATAGCAATAACATTTAGACTTATATACCACTTCATAGTGATTTTACAGCCCTCTCTAAGCGGTTTACAGAGTCAGCATATTGCCCCCACCAATCTGGGTCCTCATTTTATCCACATTGGAAGGATGGAAGGCTGAGTCAACCTTGATCCGGTGAGATTTGAACAGCCGAACTGCAACTAGCAGTCAGCTGAAGTACCCTGCAGTACTGCACTCTAATCCAGGGGTAGTCAACCTTTTTATACCTACCACCCATTTTTGTATCTCTGTTAGTAGTAAAATTTTCTGACCGCCCACCAGTTCCACAGTAATGGTGATTTATAAAGTAGGGAAGTAANACTCTCACAACGCTTCTCTGAATGCACTTGCTCTCCCAACGGGGAGCTTACCTAACAATTATGATTTAAATCTTGAATTAAGTCTTGGTGGTCCATGGCCACAAAAGGTATTTAAAGAAGGTCTATGGTGACAAAAAAAAAAAAAAACCGTTGAGAACCATTGACTTAAGTCATTTTTCCCACTTAGTTCATTCCAGATATTTTGGTCCTAGCATCCCAAAATTCCACACTATATGGCTACTAAATTTTTTGAGACATAAAGAACACACAATTTCCCATAGCAGTGCAAGTACTATTGTAATTAATATTTACAGATGCCAAAGAATATGGGCTACCACACAATTGTTTTGTGAATAGGCAGGATACTTACAGCTCCTTTGCAATACAAACGCAGTTGACCGTCTGGAGTTCGAACAATTACAGACATTCTCTTTCGATTACTGGGAATAAGACAAATATTCATTGTAATTTTTAGAAAGTTTTAGAAATGATTATTAAAGTAGCCATTAAGCAGTGGAAGATATTTATGGATTAATTTTGCCAGTATTTCATAAACACAAAGTGACAGTAATTTAGTCTGAGATTTGAGTAAGGATTAGTTAATAATGTCACAAAAAAAGCAATAAAGAAAGTTTAGGAATTTCCAAAGTTGTAATAGTCCCAAATTATCTGTAAAATATGTTGGGGAAGGTTGTGTAAAGCCAGTCCTCCTGGAAAACCAGACAGAGAACACAACGGATACCAAACTATGATTTAGTTTGTTTAATAATGGTTTAGCCTGTTATGTAAAGCTAGTCTTTGAATCAGCCGTCCTGGAAAACCACAAAGGATCAACTACATATATTTTATTGTATGGCTAGATTCAGGGATGGGTTGCTATCAGTGTTACTTCCAGTTTGGCGCACAAAATTTTTGCACGAGCGCGCTTGCTTCACTCGCACATATGCCAAACGCACACTCCGCGTGCATGCACATTTGCACCTAAAAAAGGTCTGCGCATGCACACAATATTAAAGAAGGGAACAAAATAGATTTTTGCAATGAAGGTTGTTCTGCTCATGCAGAAAAATTTTCTTGAAGAAAGAAAATAACAACTGAAAACTAAATCAAAATATCTCTATTTTTGTACAGGTAAAACTGTACCAAGAATGAGTTGAGATTCAGAAAGAAGGAAAACCCATATTTTAGGATTATTATTGTATAAACTATCTGATGCGTCAACCACGTTTATCACACCATTAACATTTTAGTACATAAAAAGGGAGTGCCTATAATCTTCAAGAGGTATTGTCATTTCAACTCAGTTATATGCCATATTTTCAGCAGCTGGCCTGACGCATCGTATTTTTTACGATGTTATTCTTTTTGTGGACAACACTATTTAATTCAAAATCATGTAACTCAAGTTGCCGTGCAGCTAAGTCAGATTTGACAGTGATGAACTATAAGGCTAAATTGTCAGATGTTTATGATTTATTGGATATTTCTGCCCTTCTTCCCAAGATTGATAGAGTGAAAAGTGAAAGAGGAATATTTTCAAAGGTTTCTGATACTGCCTCAATTACATTATCAACCCTTTTCCAGTTATCTATCCCCTTTTTCTTTCCCCTCTTTTGAGAAAGAAAGAAGGGGAAAGATTAGTCATGGGTTTTCCAACATGAAATGTAGGTCAATATTTAGATTTTACCCAACTGGCATGAGGAACAGAATAAGATTTTGCCTTGTATGGAACATCTGTCTCTAATTGCTGTAAAAATCAGAATTACTAAGAAACATCAGGAATAGCCTAGAACCATATTTCAAGCAACTGTATTTATCATTTATATCTACTCTTAAAAAGTAAGTAATATTAGAAGACGGGAGAGAGAAAATTGTTTCTGTGCTATTAATTTGTTCTGAAATTCTCCAAGTGAGGTTCAGTAAGAATGACAGACCGGTTATTTGCAGTAAGAAAATACCATATATACTTGCCTATAAGCCAAACCTCATTTTTTTAACCAAAATACCATGAAAAACAAGTCACCTGTGGATAAGGCAACCTGCATTTTTCATGATATTTTGGTTAAAAAAATTAACGGCTTGGTTATCCACGGAAGGGTTTATATGCAAGTATTATTTGTTTGTTTATACCTGATATATGTGTATTATATTTTTATAATCACAGATTATACTCGCAGATAAGTCAATCTGCAGATAAGACATTGTTAGGAAACTTGACATATTACTTCTTCAAGTTCTCAGTTCTGCCAAAGGTAAAGGTAAAGGTTCCCCTCGCACATATGTGCTAGTCGTTCCCGACTCTAGGGGGCGGTACTCATCTCTGTTTCAAAGCCAAAGAGCCAGCGCTGTCCAAAGATGTCTCTGTGGTCATGTTGCCGGCATGACTAAATGCTGAAGGCGCACGGAACACTGTTATCTTCCCACCAAAGGTGGTTCCTATTTTTCTACTTGCATTTTTACATGCTTTTGAACTGCTAGGTTGGCAGAAGTTAGAACAAGTAACGGGAGCTCACTCCATTACACAGCACTAGGGATTCAAACCACCTAACTGCCGACCTTTCTGATCAACAAGCTCAGCATCTTAGCCACTGAGCCACTGCGTTCCTCACAGTTCTGCCTATGAAAGGTAAAATAATCCATTAACGGAGGTCAACTAGGATCCAAGCCACTGAAAACTCTCCAAGTCAGATGCAGCTTATATTGCAGCCCTTCAAAGATTTCAAACCAGACAATTTCAATGAAATATAAACTCAACAAATGAAATGAAACAAAGAAAATTTCTTTTAATTTCAGGACATTTCTAACTTTTCCCCTCCTTTTACTTCTTGCAATTGCCATTAAAACCAATTACCTTGAAAATTCCAATACGTTAAGGATCTCAAACGTTTCTTCTTTTCCTAGCTGGGATGATAACAGAAGAAGACACAATTTAGTAAAAGAAAAACTAAGAATACACAAAGAACTGGAAGGAAAGCATTGTTTTTGAATATCCATATTAAAAATATGTGTGAAAATAGCTCCCTCTGCTGGGCACAACCATGTACTTATATTATTAAGAACATGCCAAAAGGAATATTTTCTGTAACTCAACATATCGCCATTCCAGAATTAAAAATGCTGTATTGAAAATACCTTAAAATTTCTTAAAAGTTTTGTTCCTCCATTAAGATAGTTATAGTTGTCTATCTTTTTCTCAATGGATTTAAAAACTTCTTCCACTTTTCTCTTAGGTTATGTTTTGGAGCTGTTTTTATTGTCAACTAGCTGATAACCTGCGTTGCCGGGGTATTTGTTTATAGGGGGAAAATGTCTGGATGAAACATAATTTCTTAATGTTGGATTTTCCCCCTTACCAGAGGGAGCCCCCTTGTGGAGTACTGTGAAGCCATTACCATGGCAATCCCTCTGTGCTGTACAGTAGAAACCATTTTAAGGAACATATGTAAGTCCAATAAAACCAAAGCAAACCAAACCAAAGAACAGGTTGTATTTTAACAGAACACCCCCCAAGGGGTGTTAGGGGTGTCTTACCCCCACAGTATTTTTNACATGCTTTTGAACTGCTAGGTTGGCAAAAACTGGGACAAGTAATGGGAGCTCACCCCATTACACAGTACTAGGGATTCAAACTACTGAACTACCGACCTTTTGATCGACAAGCTCAGTGTCTTAGCTACTGAGCCACTACATTCCTTACACAGATATTAAGCTTCGTATAAAGAATCTAAAGTAGACTTAAGTCCAACTAACTGTTTTATAATCAGTAGTGTTATTAATTTACCAAACTACATGAAAACAAACACAAATCTCATTAGATAAATGCCTATTGGAATATATGATACAGAGGGGGATTAGCCATAGCTCAATTACATAACTAGCAAGGGCCAATAAAATGGGTTGATGAAAAGTTTAATTAAGAATTGGAAAGTCACAGATATTCCCCACTCTTATTACAAGCTCTGGCTGGATTAATCTTACAGATTGCCATTAAAAATCAGATGCCTGCAAATTCATCTCAAACTGATTCATGGATTAAATGTATGAAACGAACAGCCCTTTTTGGTTATGGTGCCATCCCATATCCTTACCTGGCCAAGTTCCTCATTAAGATTTGAAGTTCTGGCCATTGCAGGTGTATCAGTTTCAGTGTAATACATATCTATGTCCTGAAAAAAGCAGAAAACCATAATCCTTGTATGCTAGGTTTATACTGTTCTGTTTATAATGTGTACATTATAATTATTTTTTTAAAAACATAGTCATTTATAGAAGAAAAAAGAGCAAACAAACAAGCAAAACAGACAAAAGACAAAAATAATTGGTACAAAAACACAGTAAGTGAACAAAGGGAATACCAAGATGGTACTCAGCGTATCCTTTGATTAGAAAGTAGAAAACATTGAAATCTCTTTTAATCAAAATCCCTGAAACCAAGACACCCTTCCTGACACCAAAGTGTACCATGGAGAATGATGGGTCAAATGGCACATTTGTTCCTTAACCAAACTATCATAGTCATTCAAATCTTGCATATTTCAATCAAGTTTGGAACCATTTTTGTGCAATTTCTGCATATTTTTAACAGTTTCAACCTGGTTCAGTAAATTATAATTAGCTGGAGAGACAGAAAGCTGCCTGCCCCAGGCCCTTAAATTCAAGAAATCTGTATTTATTTTGCATTTATATTGGGCTTCGTTGCTAGCCCAAAAAACTATACTTATTTTTACTTATTAAAAATCCTACTTCAGGCTTTCCTTCCAATTTAAGAATCACATTGGATAGGGAGAAATAAGTGCCACATTTTTACAAATTTTACTACTATTAGAAGTCTAATAACTTAATATTCATTTGTCTCTCATTGTTGTGCTGTTAAATTAAATTGTATTTAATTGTACATACCCAATTTATAAAAAGAGCCTGAGTAAACTTCACAACTTCCAGAGTCACCAGTAGACTGATGGGAATGAGGTTGTTGTACAAGATTATAAAGGTGAGTAGATTATATCCAAAATTAGTGGATAGGACTTCTATGGGCCAAAACAGAAGAGGAACAAGTTAGAGAAAGAGAAGATATATTTGCTATGCACATATGATCGTGTAATGCCCAAAGAAGTGGAATACATAGATTCGGAAACTGTGCTATTGATTCATGTAACAAAAAGGAACATTAAGAAACAAGATTTCTGAATTTACAAATATTTCACTATTGATCTTGCATTGTATGAATTAACAATTTCATGTGAAGCTTTTTAATACATTGCTACTAAGATCCAAAAACAGTAAAATACTTGTATCTAATATTTGTATATTGCAGTCAGAGCTGGACTGAACAGCCGGTCATTGACTTAAAATACCAGATAAATCATGATGACAAGTAGAACAGGAGAGAATGTGGAGTGTATATCTCATTTCTGATTCATTTCATCCTGAGATTCAATTGTGTTCATGTTGACACAATATAAGGGAGTGGACTTCTAAAATACTTTGAAAACAGGTCCAAAAATATTTTTGGGGGGTGGGAGAAGCAGAGAAAAACAAAATTAAGCTCAGAGAGAACGGTGGCATTGTAAAAAATTACAGTTTCTATCAAGAGTTTGTTTGGGAATTGTATTAACCAACAAGCCAACTAACACCAAGGGTGTAGAGATTTGAAAGGGGAAGAATGTGTTTTGAAATGCTAATCCATTCTTTTAAGGTGGCCAATTATACACCCAAAGGGATATAATATGCTTGAGTACTTTTATATGTAAGTTGATGCTTTGGGTGCTTTTAAGTAGAAAAGTGAAATAAAATATGATCAATGCATTCTGCATTTGGAAAGAATTGCTGTAATCTGAATAGTAAGAAAGGATCTACTCAGTCAGCTGCCCAGGTATAATCCACTGATGGAGAATTATAAAGCTTGTGTTGTTTTCTCATTTTGAACCAAACACAGGCCAGATGGTTTGTCACTTAAAGGATGAATTAAAACAAGTTCTTCTCTTTGTTTTTAAAAAAAGGTGCCTCCCATTTTTACAACCATTTTTCACTCAAAAGATAAACCGATATCACTCCAGTGAAGATATTTATTCAGTGAACATATTTGAGAAGATTCTTCACCACTACCAATGGCACTCAAATGATGCCAGTTTCTACAGATATTTCAGCATTCAGCACAGATGCCTGCAGCTTCAAAAGCTTCAGAAAACATTTGTCTGAAATGCCATCGGGTCAAAAGGGTATTGAGCAGGGAGTTGGACTAGAAGACCTCCAAGGTCCCTTCCAAGGCTGTTAAGTCTTCTTCAGGAGTGTCAAACTGGCGGTCCTTGGGCCAGAAGATGCATCACGCATAGGCCATGCTCACCCCAGCTCCGTGAAAGGGAAAAACATCACAAAATGTCATGTGATGGCAACGTGACATTACGAGCTTGACACCCGTGTTCTACTTCATGTGAAAAGTTGCAAACTTAAATGCTGGTCATCACTCTGCTTTATGAAGTTTTTCTCCTGCAGAGGAGAAAACTACATCTGGTTATCTGCAGAGGATGGTACAACTGAGGGATTTCAAGGGTTGTTTAGTCTTTTCCAACTCACAAAATGTCTTTATGAGTGGTTTAATTTTACTATCCAAACTAGGTGGGAAAATTTAGGCCACGGAACAGGGAAAGCATCTGGGGAGAAGAGTTTATCTAATTTGGAATGCAAAAGAGGTTTATGAAAGGATGTGGGGACGGTAGCAGCGGAGTGAGAACCGTGCAGCATGGTTCTAGCTCTATGTGCTTAACATAGGACCGTGATGGCTAACCTATGGTTTTTGGGTCTCTGTCGCACATAGACGGGGGGGTGCATGTGGGAGATACGTGCGCATGCACGGGGGCATGCATGCATACATAAGGGCCATGGGAAGTATGGGGTTTGCAAGTGCATGTGTCGGGGTGCAGTGTATGCGAGGATTTGGGCATGCATGTGCTGGGGGCACGCTGGGGAGCACACGCACTGCATTGCATTATGGGTGTATGCATGCACTTTCGGCACGCAGCAACAAAAAGGTTAGCCATCACTGACACAAGAGGTTTGTAATTGGTATGCCACTAATAGGCAGAGATTTATCTCCCATTCCATAAACCATATACTGGGAGAGGCGGGAGAGTTAAGATAAATGAAATAACTTTTTCACACAACACAGAGTTACATTGCGGTATTCACAATGAGATGTTTAAACCAATATATTGAGACTCAGGCTACTATTAGCCATGATGGCCCTAAATTTTCCCCACAATCAGGAATAATAAATGCCAGGTACTGAGAAGCAAGGGTGGATTTCAGTTAAAGAACATTCTGTCAAAATGGCGGCGTGTGGGTTGGATGTGTCACATGCAGGCCACGCCCACCCCAGCTCTGCAAAGGCAAAAAAAGTCACGATATATCATGATACGTCATGTGACGTGATCAAGTTTAACACCTGTGTTCTATAGGTTCTTCCATGAAGCATAACATTAGACTATCTGGATGTTGGTTTGATCCGTTGCAAGTGGGAATTGCAGATGTTACTCAGTGGTGGGTTTCAATTTTTTTTAGAATCTCTTCTGTAGGTGTGGCCTGCTTTGTGGGAGTGGCTTGGCAGCCATGTGACAAGGTGGGCTTGGCCTACTTGTAAAATGTGGTGAAACTCACTTAACAACGCTCTT